ATCTTAAACGGTGTTGGAATCCACCGTTAAGGTTGGAGGTACCACAGGTATTGTTGGGATACCACCAAGCTCCGTATTTCGTAGCGCATTGGTGCTTGTACTCGTCTTTATCCCTTGTTAGAAATCGAGCCTTGTTATTGTAATCAAAAGAATCACCGGCGTCTCCTTTAGAGTGAGAGAGAAAAGAAACAGAAAAATTTAAAACTGAAAAGATAAACAGGGTGAGAAAGTGAATTGGGTATTCATAGCAGGTTTTACTGATTCAGTCGTCTGTTACAAGTTGGTATCACTGATTGCAGTATCATTGGCTTTTCACTCAGCTGCTTTCTACCTATTGAACAGAAATATTCTCGATCAAAAAAGCATAAAATATTGGCTTAATGAAGATTTCGGGAAAGAGAAGCGCTCAATTCCAGTCCCCTTTTCCGCCGAATAGAGGCCCGTGTTACAGTTAATTTGCGGAGACGAAATTATGATTGCACTCAATTCAGAGCCAAATTGACATAGGTGCAAAACTACTTCTAAAGACTGCAAATTATTACAGATTTCCCTACAACTCCACTGTGGTATCCCTTTAAGCATAAAATGATTTTTTTTTCCTACGCCTAAGCATACAGCTTTTAAATTGATTATTTTTTTTCGTCTCACGTTGTATGAATGATAATGAACCTAGCTTTGAACTAGCATTACCTGTAGACATTTCTCCAATAATCAAGGAATAATTTTTCAATTCCGATTCAACCACGAACAAGTTGTACTCAGCGTAAGGATGATGAACTTTCTGATTGACTCTAAACTCCAGATCTACTCGGAGCTTGTTCTTTGTTCTCCAAGTGAGGCGGTTTATCTTGTCCAGTCCCAACCAATACTCCCCACTCATGTTACCGAAGCCATGCTTGTAGTCGCACCAGCTACGATTAAAATCAACAGAGCCGTCCAGTCTCCTCTGGATCACCGTCCATCCTCCTCCAGCTGTGTTCTGATCACAGTAAACATCGAAGGCACCTACTCCATCAGGATTAATCGTATAGACACCGCTGGTTGTATTGCCAGCCTTGTACAGCTCAGCACAATTAGCTGTTAAAAGAAAAAAAGATGTGATTGGTTGAAAAGAAAGAAATTGACTTAGTCAAAGCCAAATATTGGTAGAACGAAGACCAGATCTATATTTTTAGAAACAAAGATCATTTCATGTTCGCACTGGCATAAGAAAAATATAACTTATATGAAAGGAAACAGAAATAGTGACGCATTCACCTGCAAACGATGTGATTGGGTGACCCACGGTTTGACTCCTAGAAACCAACACCACGAGCAAAAAAATCCGGAGAGAATTTGGTATTGCACTAGGCATTGTTCGAATGTTGAAACTACCTCAAATTTGAACTTCTTAAAGTAGTGACTGAC